TGCTGAAAAAACAGACTTCAATGACTCTGTTTCTGTTCCCAACCCTGGGATTTTCCTGGGCAAGAAGAACAGCGCGAGCCCTGCAAACCCCCACGTGTCTCCTCCAAGAGAGACTCGAGAAGCTGCCGAGGTAAACAAGCACTCCTTCATCTCCGCCGAGCACTCTTACGCCTCGCAGATGCCCGAGCACTCGAAGAAACACATCTATCCAAGAGGTGCCCCTTACCCCAGCCCAGCACCCTCCAAAAACGGGACCAGGAACGCCCGAGCGGGACCCCTGGTTGGGAAAGTCCTTCCTTTCCGCCACCAGCAGAACAGCACCCACCACCAGCGGCCCTTCCAGGCCGTGATGATGAGGCGCAGGAGCAGCCCCCTCTCCCTGAGGATGAAAGAGGACTTCACCAAATCCCACACAGTGAACATCTGCGGCGGGGCCCTGAAGGTGACGTGCCACTGGGAGGCAGAGTATCTCTTCAATTTGGACAGCAGGTACACCAACGATGCCCTGGAGAAGACCGTCATCCGCGCCCTGCATGGGTAAGTCACTCTGCAGGGTCCTCTGCAGGGGATGTCTCTTGCTGGATGTCTCAAAACGCTTTTGGAAGGGGCTTTCTTTACTCTTTTTTGGCTTTGCATGAAAATTGCCTTTTTCCCCGTGCTCTGATGCCCACTTTCGGTGTTAAAGCTGCTGTGTTTTCCCTGTGGAGAAGGATTTGGGGTGACAAATTGGCAACGTGTGCTTGTAGCCCAGAAACTAACCCCATCCTGGGCTGCATCACAAGAAGTGTGGCCATCAGGGCCAGGGAGGGGATTCTGCCCCTCTGCTCTGCTCTGCTCTGCTCAGACCCCACCTGCTGGGCTGTGTCCAGTTCTGGGGCCCTCAATATAAGAAGGCCATGAAGCTGTTGGAGTAGGTCCAGAGGAGGCCACAAAGATGATCAGGGGCTGGAGCAGCTCTGCTATGGAGACAGCTGAGAGAGTTGGGGTTGTTCAACCTGGAGAGGAGAAGGCTCTGGGGGGACCTCATTGCAGCCTTCCAGTTCCTGAAGGGGTCCTACAGGAAAGCTGGAGAGGGACTTTTTACAAGGACAGGTAGCGATAGAACGAGGGGGAATGGTTTTAAACTGGAAGAGGGGAGATTCAGACTGGATATTAGGAAGAAATTCCTGGCTGTGAGGTGGTGAGGCCCTGGCCCAGGTTGCCCAGAGAAGCTGTGGGTGCCCCCTCCCTGGCAGTGCCCAAGGCCAGGTTGGCCGGGGCTTGGAGCAGCCTGGGCTGGTGGCGGTGTCTCTGCCCATGGGGGTTGGACTGGGGGAGCTTTAAGGTCCCTCTCACCCCAAACCATGCTGTGATTCTGTGATTCCTGTGTCTCTGCAGCCAGAATTGGCACCTGGAGCTATGAACACAAGTCCTCCTTTGCAGCTGTGAGTTTCTTTTTTACAACAAGCTGGAAACTGCATCAAGCGATCAGTGGCTGCACCCAGGCATTTGCAGCTCCCCTGCATTGACTCTTAGCACCATGGGGAACCAGGAGGTGACTTTCCAGACATTTCAGGCTCTGTTTGCTCTTCCTTCCAGGCCCTGGGACCCTGATCTGCCCGATGACGTGGAGGAGATGAAGCTGATACTTCACATGTGGATGGCTCTCTTCTACAGCAAACCCAGCAAACTCCTAAGCATCTCCACGAGGAAGGTGGTGGAGCACAGCAACCCCAAGAAATACGTCTCAATCAACAGCACCGGGGACTTTTTTGAGCTGAGTGATGATGGGGAGGACTGTTTTGGGTTGGAGACGTGCCCCGCAGACTCTGGCTCAGACCCCGACCAGATTCCCAGCAGCTCCCTGGATCGCAGCACTCATTGCCAAGGACCTTTCCACCAAGAGGAGAGCCCTGCAGACTCTCAGACTGATGATGATGGCACCCCTGGTGTTGTCGATAGCACGGTATCGTCTTCTTCAGGGGAGCTGCCTTGTGGGGAGGAGGAGCCTTCCTCCACAAGCTGTCCCGAGAGCCTTTCCCTCACTGAACACGCTGAGGAGAGCCTGGCTGTGACAGACAGACGGACACCAGCCATTCCTCAGGAGCAGGAGCGTGACATCTCGACCATCCCCATGGTAAGAGCTTGGGTGATAGGAGTCTACAGGGCACACACCATAAAAAAAGAAGCTTTCAGGTCTCAATCCAGGTTTGGATATCACAGATTCATTAAGGTTGGAAGAGACCTCCAAGATCATCAAGTCCAACATCAAACCAACCCCACCATGGCCACTAAACCATGGCCCCAAGTGCCACATCCAGGCGCTTCTTGAACCCCTCCAGGGATGGGGACTCCACCACCTCCCTGGGCAGCCCCTTCCACTGCTTGACCACTCTTGCAGTAAAGAAATTCCTCCTCATATCCAATCTAACCCTCCCCTGGCACAACTTGAGGCCATTTCCCCTTGTCCTGTCACTGGTTACATGGGAGAAGAGACCAACACCCACCTCTCTACCTCCTCCTTTCAGGAGTTGTAGAGGGAAAAAGGTCTCCCCTCAGTCTGATATCCCTGGGCTCTGGCACGAGCTGTATCTATCCCTGTCCAACAGAGCAGGACCTTGACCCCATTAGACAAATCTAATCCCAAAGTATTACAGCAATTAAAGCATCAAGCTCAGCCTCTGTTCCTGGTTTCAGCTGCGAGCTGCGTGAGCTCAGACCAAGTCTCAAACCTGTGCTTAACTGAATCACAGGATGTGTTGGGTTGGAAGGGACCTTTAAAGCTCTCCCAGTCCAACCCCTGCAGTCAGCAGGGACATTGGTACCAGATCAGGTTGCTCACAGCCCCATCAAGCCTGACCTTGAATATCTCCAGGGCTGGGGCCTGCACCACCTCTCTGGGCAACCTGTGCCACTGATCTGCCACCTCATGGGGAAGAACTTTTTCCTCATATCCAACTTAAATCTCGCCTTTTCCAGTTTAAAACCATTCCCCCTCATCCTATCGCTCCATGCCCCAGTGAACAGCACTGAGGGAGGAGGGGAACCACAGACACCCCAGGACCAACACTCAAAAGCCTTCCTGTCTCTTCTGGTCAAGTATTTTTGCCTGCCCATGGCCACAGCAGCCCAGATGTGTCGGGGAACACAGCACAGCCTTTCCTCTGCTGCTTTTGGAGAGCTGAGGTTTGCCAGCTTGGAGAGATCTCCCCCACACGGATTGCAGTGCAGTGCTTTGCAACATTTCCCTCACCCCTCTGGTGAAATTACTTAAAATTTCATTCTGGGTAGGGTTTTTTAATTCATATTTACAGTTTCTAGGGTCTGCAGATGGTCAGGAGTTGGAGGTATTTGGGTATATTTAAAACATGGGTGTCTGCTGACCTTTTCAAGCCTGAATTCTTGAACTAAAATCATTCCTTTTAAACTTCTGCTTTGAAGTTCACGCTGCCATAGCACTGCAACTGAATTGCACGAAGGGAAATAATATCCCAGTGGTTTTTACCCACCTGGGTTTAGTGCTGTGGAGCAGGACGAAGTGATGTGGGAGAAAATGTGGGTTCACTGCCCATAGTGTCCATATAGGGCAGATAAACTCAATATCTTGGACAGATAAACTCAGTAGAGATAAGAGGATGCTGCTCCATCCATTATCTCCTGGCCCTGCAGGTTTTGGCCTATTTTTAAGCCATTTCATGATGTAAAGAAGGTCAAAAGTTTCCAACCCTTTCCCTGGCTGCCTGTGGGGCTCTGCTTGGGGATGGAGTTGCTGTTGCAGTGGTTGTACCTGCAAAATTTGAGCTTTTAAAATATCCACGTCCTCCTGCGCGGGCGTCTCAGCTCCTGCATTTGAATTGTGTTGAATTTGTGTGAATTTGAACTCCTCTGAACTCCTCTTTTTCAGGAGCAGCTGCCCCAGGAGGGACTGAGAGACGCTACCATCACCCCCAGCCCTTCGGATGAGCTCGGTGATGCCACCAACCCCCCAGCTGCTTTGAACAGGGAAAACCCATGCAGCCAAGCCCCAAATTCCAGTGCAGCTCCCTGTGACGATGCCCCACGGTTGCATGGATGCGGAAAGCAGCAGGAGAGCGAGCAGGCAGCAGGGTCAGGGGTTGGCCCTGAAGAAAAGGAGAATATGGGAGATGCTGGGCACCGTATGGAGTTTGAGGACAGCAGCAGGGCCACCAGCGATGGACCACAACGTGGCTGTGATTCAAGTCCCAAAAGTGCAAAGCCCGATGGAGCCGGTGGGAAAGGTGAGGAATCACAAAACCCCTTGGGACACCCAGAAAAAGAGGAGGAAGAGGTGGAGAAGGGGGAAAAAGAGAAAGAGGCCTGTGAAGATAAAAGCACAGTCCTGGGGCCTGCTGATACAGCATTTTCTGGAAGCGATGGTGCCGACATGAAGCATGAACACAGCGAGCAAAAGCCGGTGAATTCAGCACATCCAGAGGACTTTGGCATTTCTGGAGAAGGCCCTGTGCCCGGCCCTGCTGCCTCAGTGTCCCCTTGCCCAGGCAGATCCACGCCAGTGCTGTCAGATGGGGCCGGGACGGGCCCTCAGGGACTTCCTGGTGAGGTGGCACCAAGCCTGGACACGCAGCGAGAGACGCTCGGGGATGGCTCGGAGCAGCGAGACGAGGATCGTGCGCCCTCTGCAGAAAGGTGGGCGCCTGCTGGGAGCAAAGGTGCAGACACAGCTGGCCTGGAGTCACCGTGTCCCCAGGAACTGTCCCTAACCTTGTCCCCTGACTCCAGCTCTGTCTGCCTGGCGTCTCTGGATGGAGCAGCGGATCCTGGAGCAGCGGATCCTGGAGCAGTGGATCCTGGAGCAGCAGATCCTGGAGCAGCAGATCCTGGAGCAGCAGCTCCTGGAGCAGCGGATCCTGGAGCAGCAGCTCCTGGAGCAGTGAATCCTGGAGCAGTGGATCCTGGAGCAGTGGATCCTGGAGCAGCGGATCCTGGAGCTGCTCTGAAGGACCAGGGGGCCACACCAAGCATCCAATCTCCATCACACAGCAGCTGCCTTTTCCAAAGGTGCGGAGGCGACGTTTGCGCTCAGCTCCCTTCAAAGGGGAGGTCAGACACAGAAGGGGACAAGGTTTGGGTGGAAGAATGGTGTCGCAGCCCTCCTGCCAACCAGACGGGTGAATTTTTGGGAGCAGACGATAGCCAGGACTTCACCTTCGACTACACAGCCCTGAGGAGTGACTCTGAAGCTGGGGAGAGCGATGATGTGCGCCTCAGTGCAGAGAAGTCCCCTGGGAGCAGCAAAACGAAAGCAGCGATGGTGGTTAACACACAACAGGAGCCAGAGCCCTCTTTCCATCACCTGGGGGAACCAGAGCCCTCCTCCTTGGTGGCAGAGGGGACATCTGCCATCAAGGAGCACCCCAAACCGCAGCAGAGCTCCCCCTCTGCCTGCAGAGACCCAGCTCTTGCTTCACCCCCCGGGCAGGACCCTTTTCCCCATGGTGGAGACGCAGGATCGATGTCTCCATCTCCTCCCCATGCTCTGCACAGCGCTGATCCGGATTCGGTCCTCGGTGTGCACCCTAAAACGCCCTCTCCTGGCACCAACCCGGCTCCCGATGGGGCCCCGTGGTCCTGCAGCGCCTGCCCCAGCTGTGCCAGCCCTGGGGGCCAGCGGGAGGAACCCATCCTGCCCGAGGATTTGGGAGGAGGAAGCAACCTCCCTCCCGCAGGTCCAGCATCGTTTTCAGAGGAGGACCAGGCCAAGGGATGCGACGCATTTCCTGACCCGCGCCGCGCCACGGAGGTGGGAGAAGGAGAAATCCCCCCTCTCCCCTTCCTGACGTTGCCATCGCATCCCCGCAGGGACACTGAGAGAGAGAGCCTGGAGCTTAGCGACACCGAGGATATTTCGGGTGTGCTCCTGAGGGCCAAGCAGCCCTCCAGCAAAGACAAACCCAGGGGCTTGGCCTTCGAAGATCCATTTGAGCCTTTCTCTGGTGATTCGGACCAGGAATATTTTGGGGGGACGTCGCAGTCCCTGCTTACAGCCCAGGGGTCCTACGGCACGAGGTGGGCACACACGGAAGGCTTAGCGACACCGAGGATATTTCGGGTGTGCTCCTGAGGGCCAAGCAGCCCTCCAGCAAAGACAAACCCAGGGGCTTGGCCTTCGAAGATCCATTTGAGCCTTTCTCTGGTGATTCGGACCAGGAATATTTTGGGGGGACGTCGCAGTCCCTGCTTACAGCCCAGGGGTCCTACGGCACGAGGTGGGCACACACGGAAGGGCTCAGCGAGGGCTGGGG